CCCTGCAACCCCAGAGCCCCACTGGGGCGTTCCCGATCCCACACAGGTGCTACAGGCTGCAAAGGCTGCGTCCTGAGCGCTCTCAGATGCCCTGGGAGCAGGGCTGCATGGGGAGGTTGTCCCGTTCTGGGTCCCTAGTGTGGAGCTCGCAGAGAGGAGAGACCTGGGGGAGGGGGGCCTCCCTGCACTGGTTCCTGACATAGCACCCCTGGCTGCCCAGCCCTAGAGATAAGGGGCAGGGGAGGGACAGAAGGGAGGAACAGTTGCTCAGAGACCTGGAATCCAGAGGAGGAGATGGGCAGGTACACTCGAAACAGGTGTTTTTAAACCTGCAGCTTCCGGCAAAACTGCAGGTGCAACCTCAGAACCAGAAGTCTGTGTCAGAGAAGGTTCCGAACTCATGTCCTGAGACATATTGCAGGCGCAGAGGATGATGGAGGGCTGATACCTCCTAACCATCACTCCTCCACCCTCCTGGGGAAACGCTTTCTCTAAGGGCCTTCACCTTTTTTCATCACTGTCATCTCCCCAACTCTTTCTTGGCCACTTCTTTCACCTTCAGCAGAGATGTCACCGCTGGCTCAAAGCCTTCCTCTGTACCTCAAGTCCTGCCACCATCAAACTGAGCCACACTAATGCCAGCAAGGGCCAACCGCTCCAATGCCCTGGCCTCAGAGCTCTGTCTTCTCAGCCCCATTGGCCACCTCCCCTTCTCGCCTCCATTGACTATCTGAGCTCATCTCCTTTGGCCATCTGGTCTTGTCATCTTCATTGACCTTCCTTTCCAACCTGGATCTTGCCATCACCCCCTGACTGGCCCCTCCTATAATCTTCAGAGATGTTGTCCTCCTCTCAGAGCACAGCTTCCAGTGTTCCCAATTCCTTCATTCCCTTACCATCACTACACCCGTTTTCCAACCTCGTCAAGCCCTTCAGGGCCTTGACCTCCCCATTTTCTCCCAATATATTGACCCTTCCTGGTTGCAGGGCCATCCTAACCAGCCCAGACACAGCAAGTCATCATCTAAACCCACCCTTGCCGATGCCCTTGGTTCCCCTGGCCCCTTCTCCTTCTAGCTTTTTCCTCCTGGAAAAGCCCCAGCTGTCTTTCAACCTCACGGTCCATCTTCTCCATCCCTGCATCAGGTGACGCCAGAGAAGGTCAAGCGAATTGTAAACCGATGCCTGTGGTAGGCAGAAGAGTGGTTCCCAAAATGCCCAAGTTCCAGTCCCTGGAACCTGTGACTATGTCACCGGACATGGCCAAAGGGACTTTGCAGGTGTGATTAAGTTAAGGATGTTGAGATGGGGAGATTTTCCTGGGGAATCAATAAAACCACAAGGATTCAGATAAAGAAAGGGAGGCAGGAGAGTCAGAGATGAAGATGCGATGATGAAAGCAGAGGTCAGACGAAGTGGCTTAAAGAGGCTGGCACCTCGATTTTCTACAGTACCTGAAGGTCACCCAGCGCCATTTCTTAGCCTCATTAAGCCTGAGCTCAAAATTAGATCAGCAGATTGCCAAAAGAGAGTTTATTTGGCCCCCACCCAGGTGTGCCCTGGTCCCAACTCTGTATGAGGCCCACCTGTTGGGGATGTTTTCCCTCAACCTAGTTATGCCTGGTCCTTCTTGGGACAAATGAAAACTGGTTCATCTGGGTGAGAAAAACACAGACATCGCCCAATCAGCTTAGTGTGGGAATCTCCTTTGAAGACTGCAGAAAATGCCCTACCTCAGGAGGCTGCTTCCTTTTGAACTTGATCACAGAGGTGAGAACAGTGCCCTCCCGGGGTGTCCCTCAGAGCCTGGAGGCAAATTAGCCATTGGTCCCAGGGTGGCCCTGTGGCCTTGAGCCACAGAAAAATGTCCTTTGGATTGTCTGGTGGAGTGAATTATTTGAGCTTCTGGTCTCGTTCTTTCAGTCCATCTGTCCATCCTTCCATCCATCAGTCATTTAACAAACATTTATGAAGATCCCAAACCGGGCTCAGATCAGGTGGGTTCTCTGAGGGACTCAGAATGAGTACCTAAAACAGGCTCACCATCTCTACCCTCCAGAAGCTTATGGCCCATTAGAGAAAGCTGATCCATCTGCAGTTTATAAATAATAACAACAGCCATCTTGGATTGGATGCCGACTGTATTAGTCAGCTCAGACTAAAGACCATACCCTGGATGACCTTAACAACCAAAATTTATTTTCTCACAGCTCTGGAGGCTGGAAGTCCTAGACCAGCACGGTTGTTGGGTCCTAGGAATTCTGCTTCCTGGCTTTCTCCTCCTCACATGGCAGAGAAAAAGAGACAGCAAACTGTTGTTCCTTCTTAAGGGCACTAATCCCATCATGAGGACCCCACCCTCATGGCCTCATCTAAACCTAATTACCCCCCAGAAGCCCCATTTCCAAATACCATTACACTGGGGTTTGGGCTTCAACATATGAATTGGGGGGAGTGGGGCTTAACTCAGTCCCTGGCACCTACCCTGGGCGAAGCTGATAAATGCATGATCTCTAATTCTGCAGCTCCCAGTCAGCCACTGCCCTCATTTTATAGCTGAGGGGAGGAGTGCTCAGAGAGGTTGGTGACTGGCTGGAAGCCACACAGCTGGATGCCAGTGGGACAGGGATCTGACCCAGGGGTTGCCGACTCCATCACTGGCAGGTTGGTTCCTACTCCCTAAGGAGCTGTCCTTCCTGATGCCTGGACAGGGGAGGACCACAGGGAGCAAGCACGTCAAACTCAGAGGCTAACATGGCCAAGTGAACGCGGTTGAAGTTTATGTGGGCCGCAAAGAAACAAACGCTCCAATTTTCATAAAAACGTAGGTTTATTTTGAATAGTAAAAAAAAAAAAAAAAAGATAAAATTAATGTTTTCTTCCTGACACTTGGCATCTCTTCTCTGCTACTGTTTTTCCTACTTTGGGGAAATCTTTTTCTCAATGACTACTTTCAAAACTGACCCAATGCCGAAACCGATTTGGCTCAGTGGATAGAGCATCAGCCTGCGGACTGAAATGTCCCAGGTTCGATTCCAGTCAAGGGCATGTACCTTGGTTATGGGCACATCTCTAGTAGAGGGTGTGCAGGAGGGAGCTGGTCGATGTTTCTCTTTCATCCATGTTTCTAACTCTCTATCCCTCTATCTTCCTCTCTGTAAAAAATTAATAAAATATATATTTTTTTTTTTAAAAAAAGGCTTGTATACTCTTAAAAAAACAAACAAACAAAAAACTGACCCAAGGTGAAGGTCAGTAATTCTGGATCTGTCAGGAGACTTATTTCCTTTCATAATTGTACATAACTGCTCACACTGTTATATTGGCTGGACCACTAAATTATTCCTTGTGGCCCGCATGTGGTCCACAGCCCTCGAGTTTGACAGCCTTGATGTGAAATCAGCCTCATGCTAGGTTTGCACACAGATTATGTTGAAAGGAAGAGCCATCCACCTTGAATGCATTTGCTGGCTGGGTTGGGGGACTCAGGACCCCTGCTGGGCACAGACCTGCCCCCTCCCCCAGGGAAGGTGTGAAAATTAACTCAGCAGAGCGCTGAGGATATGGCTAGCTCTCACTGAAACCTGCTCTTGTTAGGATCATCCCTGGGACCAGTGATCTGTGACGCCAAGCTGGGCCCCTGCGTGTTCTCTGCACACGCAGAGACAATCTATCCATTAAACATGATCAACCTGAGGCCAGGATCTTGAAGCTCACAGCCCTGCCCAGCTCGGGGTCTCTTCCTGCACTTACATCAGCCTCAGCTGCACCCAGAGAGAGCCACTGGTGACCTGAGGAAGAGGAGACAGACCCCGGGAGGTGGGTTGGGGCTTAGAGACCCGCTTGGGGGGGGGGGGATGATGTGGGCAGGTGGGCCTCTGGGAAGCCGGCCCCAGACTTTCCCAAGTCCTCTGCTATGTCCACCCACCGTGAGGCTCTTAGCTGTCACCTGTAAATCAACTTACTTCTGTTCTTTTTGACTTACGTATAGCTGTTTTGTAAATAAAAGCATAACCAGGAAAACCTGCAGCCCTGCCATTCATGGAGGTAACACTGAACCCTGACAATGAAAACAGCCGATGCTCTGTCCTCTGCTGGCCTTTCGTTGCTGTGTGAGGATCGGGGAGCCGTGACAGACTTGCCCCAGACGGCTGTCTTTTGTTTTTCTTCCGCACCCAGGTGGGAGGCTGGGAGAATCGAATAGAAAATAACATTCAGCCAGAACCAGTTTGGCTCCGTGGATAGTGCGTCGGCCTGCGGACTGGAAGGTCTCGGGTTCGATTCCAGTCAAAGGCATGTACCCTGGGTGCGGGCACATCCCCAGTAAGGGTTGTGCAAGAGGCAACTGATCGATGATTCTCTCTCATTGATGTTTCTAACTCTCTATCACTCTCCCTTCCTCTCTGTAAAAAATCAACAAAATATATGTGTGTGTTTTTTTTTTAAAAGAAAGAAAATAACGTTCGCACGCTGGGCAGTCCCAGGAACCACTGAGAGCTCCCTGTCGCTGGGGGATGCTGTGGGGCTCGGGGCAGAAGCTCTCGCCTGGGCAGTGGGCTCCAGAAGCCCTGGGCAGGGGATCCCCACCATGTCCCTGGGCATGGCCCTGGGTCCCCCAGGCTTACAGGACCAGGCCCCACGTGCCCCCCTCTGGAAACAGCTGCCCAGGGTGAGAACAGACTGCTGAGCCCCCTGAGCCGCAGGGTCTCTGCCCTTGCCCAGCAGCGACCTTCAGCGACGCAGTGTCCCTCACCCTCGCCCACACCGGGGAATCCCAAGCAGGCGCTCCGGCAGGTCTCCCGTCGCCACCCAGGGCCTTCTCCCCCGCCCCCTCCCCGGGTATTTCTGGCTCCCAGCCCTGAAACCCGAGAGGAAGCCATCCTCGGCGACGGGGACGCGCCTGTGCGTGTGCATTAATAGAAGCCTCCCTCAGGCCCCTGTCACGTGTGGGCAGCTGCTCAGCCCCAAGGCCAGCCCCCTCTGGCTCGGCCCAGCACACTAAACTTAGCTCCCCCCTCTGCACCATAACTGCCGCCGCCGCCACCCCAGCCCGCTGCCACCTGCCCAGGGAGACGCCGCCAGCCACCCGACCCTGCCCGGAGCGCCCACTCCTCCGCGACCACCATGTCCCAGACCGGAACCCTGAGGGTCCGCCTGACGCTCTTCTGCCTCCTGGTGGGCATCGTGCTGGCCACGGTGGCCGTGGTGACCGACCACTGGGCCGTGCTGAGCCCCGAGGTGGAGCACTACAGCGCTGTCTGCGAGGCGGCCCACTTCGGCCTCTGGCGGATTTGCACCAAGAGTATCATCGTGGGCGGCAGCAAGGAGGGGAGCTGCGGACCCATCACCCTGCCAGGGGGTAACGTACCCGCCCTGGCCCCCGGCCCTGCCCTGCCCCCGGCCTTCTCTGTTCCTTCCGGAAAAGTGGCTCCGGACAGCCCTCGTGCCCGGGAGAGGGGGTCTGCGTTGCATGAGGCTGTGCTGGCGGCCGTGGCCATGTCTCCCTCCCTATTTCTCTGTCTTGCGAGGCTTGGGGCTTTTCACCCAGAGCAGAGGGCTGGCCATGTGGGGCGAGAGGCTCAGTTTTGAAAGACACCATGGACCTGCCAGGCCGGGGGCTCCTGGCCCCACCAGCGGTCACTCTTCTGGGTGCCCAGCTCCGGGCTCTCCCGGCAAGGAAGCCGGTGGCCCTCGGTGCTCAGGCTGGCGGGCCCTGTGGGAGAGACAGGATGGGCCACGGAATGTACGGGCCCCGGGCAGCCTGAAAACACAGGCTCCTTGTCGTTGCGTAAGAATTTCAGAAAGGTAGTAACAGCAGAGAGAGAGAAGGGGAGAGAGGGAGAGGGAGAGGGAGAGGGAGAGGGAGAGGGAGAGAGAGGGAGAGAGAGAGAGAGAGAGAGAGAGAGAGAGAGAGAGAGAGAGAGAGAGAGAGAGAGAGAGAGGGTGGCAGGGGGGTGGGGGGGGCCTTGAGTGATGGCACAGGCTGAGCACCTGTTTGGGAACTGGGACCTGTCGCAGATGAGCTGCCTGCCTTTTCGTGAGGAACACCAGCCCTCCAGCCCATCCTCCCTCAGCTCAGGCCCCTGCAGGGCCGGGAGCACGTCCTGCCGCTGGAATGGAAGTGCATTTCCCACTTCCACCCACGGGGCGCACCACGGGATGACGAGCCTCCCGGCAATCGTCCAGCCCTCTGCGCCCCTAGTAAACGGAGCACACGCTCAGGAAAGAGCCCGCTTGGATTCAGAGGCCACGGCTCTAACCATCATTACCCATGACCCCCCAAAATGACGATTGGCAGGGGGCGGGGGAGACAAAGCCCAGCACAGCCTCCGCTTCCTCCGTGGTGCTTGGATTCAGCAGCGCAGAGGCCCTTCCAGCGCTTCCAAATGTCACTCCCAGGTGCGCGGACCAGGCTGCATGGGGCATCCCACTTGGCGCTCAGAATTATTCTGTCTGTGACCGGACTGGGTGTCCACTGAAACCTCCCCTTCAAGGGAGCCAGTGCCAAGTCCCCCAGAACCTTGCAGTGTGTGTTTGGGGGTGGTGGGAGGGGAGGGAACAGAGGAGCCCAATGCTTGTTCCTCCCTCTTCCCTCTTTCTCCTTCCTTCCCCTCCCGCTGCCTCCCGTCTTGCTCATTCCCACTGGACACTCGGAAGATTCATAAATACCCAGCTGTCCCAGGGCTGAGGGCTTTAAATGGCATGAGCATGCGCTGGGAGGGTATCACATAGCCCCGATGCCCATGCCCCGCGGCCTCTGCTGAGCATGCCTGTAAACAGATGCACCGTCCAGCCAACTCCCCTGGGCAGGGCAGGGCAGGGCAGCTCCCCCAGAAACGCGCTGGGATGGTCCTCCCACCTGTGCTGGGAGGCATCTGCCTTTTAAAGCCTGGCGAGTTCGCGGAGCAGGGGAGCAGAGGGTGAGCTGAGTCTATACAAGGGAGAGGCAGGCTGGCAGCAGGTGGCAGGGCCAGCCCCTGGGGACCAGCAGGCACGGCTTAGCCTTGAACCTGGCCAGTGTCTATCTCAGTGCCTTCTCACTCTGACCTGAGTGAATCCTACTTGTGAGCACAGCCTTGCCCCCAACAGGCTGCTGCTGGGTGCTCCTGACTTCCTCCCTCTCCTTTCTCTGCACGTGAGCATCTCTTCCTTCCCCCGCCCCTCCTACGCTGTACAGGACCACTCTTTGCTGGAGGGATGGACAGAGTTCATACATGTTCCTTTTTTTTTTTTTTTCTTATCCTCACCTGAGGATATTTTCCCACTGATTTTCAGAGAGAGGGAAAGACAGAGAGAAATACCCATGTGAGAGAAACACATCAGTTGGTTGCCACCTGCACACGGCCCAACCAGGGTCCAAGCAGAAGAAGAGCCTGAAACCAAAGTACATGCCCTTGACTGGAATCGAACCCAAGACTGACGCTCTATCCACTGAGCCAAACCAGCTAAGGCATACATGTCCTTATTTATTATTAATAACAGTAAGAATAACTGCAAACACAAATAGAGCACTATCTGCCAGACATTGTTTTAATGTTTTACATATTCGGATGGCATGGGGGGGGGGGGGGGCGGGATGACAGAGTTAGAACCTCCAGAAATCCTCCTCTCCATAAAAGCAATGTGAACATTAGCAAAAATGATCAGAATCAAGTTTTTCGGAACTCTGGAATGCATGCTGCTCAGTGGAGTGCTGCACACTCTGCGAAGCACAGAGCCCCTCAGTAAATGCTGGGAGATGAATTAGTTCCAATCATTGTAGGAAATCTCCGTGAGCTGACCACCAAACTAACGGAGCAGAGATTTCCGTGGTCACACATGACTAAGAATATAGACTTTACAAAAATAATTCAGAAAGTCACTAAATAAACAACAATAGCAAACAGAAATAGGAACAATCCTTGGGTAAGATAAGAGTCTGATTTCTAGAGTTGCTACATTATATTGTTTAAATTTTCCAGTTTTAAATTTAAATTAAAAAAAAATGTCAAGACATGCAAAGAACTAAAAACGCATGGCCTATACCAGTGGTCAACAAACTGCGGCTCGTGAGCCACGGTTTGCTGCTCCGTTGACTGAGTTTGCCGACCACTGCTAGACTAAATGCTACCGTGTGGTTGGAAGCTGTGAGGATTAGGCAATTGTGGCACATTGTGTGCAAAGAGGTAAAGGGTGGTATATGACAGTGGTCGGCAAACTCATTAGTCAACAGGGCAGCAAACCGCAGCTCACAGGCTGCATGTGGCTCTTGAGCCGCAGTTTGCCAACCACTGGCCTATACAATAATAACGTCAATAATAGATTCTTAAGGAAGCCCAGATATTGGACTTACTAGGCAAAGACTTTAAGTCACCTATTTTAGATATATTCAAGGAATTTGAAGAATCCACTGGCCTTCCTCATGTGCTAAGATAAGAACGATGTCTCATGAAATAGAGCATAAAGATATAAATTATTTTTAAAGGATATAATAGAAATTCTAGAGTTGAGAAGTATAATAACTGAAATGAGCCGAAACCGGTTTGGCTCAATGGATAGAGCATCGACTTGGGGACTGAAAGGTCCCGGGTTCGATACCGGTCAAGGGCATGTACTTTGGTTGCTGGCATACCCCCAGTAGAGGGTGTGCAAGAGGCAGCTGATCGATGACTCTCTCTCATCGATGTTTCTAACTCTCTATGTCTCTTCCTTCCTCGCTGTACAAAATCCATAAATAATATTTTAAATAAATAAATAAATAAAAATTAAAAAATAACTGAAATGAAAAAGTTCACCAGACAATTTCAATAGCAGAGCTGAGCAGGGAGAACAAATCCATGAAATTAAAGATAGGCCAACTGAGATTAGCTAGTCTGAGAAACAGACAGGAGAAATAATGAAGAAAAATGAACAGAGCCTGTGGGACAGAATGAAATGTATCAATACACACCTAATGGTATTCCCAGACAAAGAGAGAGAGGAGCAGGAAGTACCTATAAAAAATAATGGCCAACATTTTTCCAAATTTGATGGAAAACATTCATCTAGAAACCCATGAAGCTTAATGAACTCCAAGTAGGATAGATCAAAATCTGGACACATCATAATCAAAAGGTAGATAAGATGAAAAATAAAGACAGACTCTTGTGAGAGCAAGAAGTGACTCATCACATATCGATACAAGGAATTCTAACTAAGAAAAACAGCTACTTCCCCCCCCCCCCCCGAAAAAAAATAAACACATGAAGGGCAGGGCAGTGGGATGACATATATATATTAACTCATCTAATTCTCACAAAATCCTCTGTGAGGTCCATGCTATTATCATCATCCCATCCGACAGATGAGGAAAACGAGGCGCAGGGAAGTAGAGTAATTGGACCGAATTCGCACCATTACCACAGCAGCATGCTGGGCAATTCCCGAGTGACAGCGGCAGATGCCTGGCTTGATTGGCCCGAACCGAGCATCTTGTTGCTGCTGGAAGTGTCCAGACAGAGCATTAGGTCTGACCCCCACCGGTGCTGGGGCCAGCAGGGCCCACAGAGCAGCCTGTGGGCTCCAATGGGCAGCCGTGGGGCCCCGGGCAGATGCTCCTCCCAGGCCTTCCTCACGTGCTGAGCCCAAGCGAGGGGGCAGGATTAGCCTGTCTGCCCTCAAGCCCCAAGTTCAGCCACGTTAGAGAGAAGCTGAGACTTCCCCATGTCCTCAGTGGGAGCCCTGCCCACCGGGAGCCCCTCCCCCATGTGTGAGAGCCTATAACTGGGGAGGGGAGGGCCAGAAACACTGCCCCTGGGTCACTGAGGGGACCGTCCCCCCACCCCCGGAACCCACAGGCTGGCTTCCCAGACAGGCTGCTCCCCGCCCCTGTGTCGGAGCTAAGGAAGATTTTGAGCAAGGCCTGGTGGCGGCAGCGGTTTGTCCAGAATGGAGCCTGGTGTCTGTCTCCTGGAGCTGACACCCTGAGCACACCCTGCGCAAGAGGGGCCTCAGCACCCCAGAACTGCGCATAGCTGGGCCTTCATCCCCTCCCCCGCCCTCTCCCTGCTCCGGACCCGTTAACTCGGGGATGGCGCGTTGTCGCCGAAGCAGCTGACTGTAAAATACACTTGAATTCAATCAATGCCTTTCAGAGGGTTTTCAGCGATGACCGAGATTGGCCCTCACAGAATGAAACAGAAATGTTCCTTTGTCCAGAGAGAGGCCGGCGGTGACGGAGGACACAGCACAGGCCATTTGGAAGCCGTGGCTGAAGAGAATCCACAGCTAATAACCTAACGAGCATAGGAGGGCTGCATCGTGTTCTGAAACAGCCCCGGAAGCTGTGAGAGAGAAAAGAGCGGCTCGGCTCTGACATCACCACTTACCGGTGTCAGACACCCCGGGTCCCTCGGTTCTGAAGGAAAGCGATTTAAATATAGAAGCTCAAAGGGAAGGCGTTTACCGCTCGGAACATTCGCTGCTGCTAACGACGCCAGGCGTGGTCTCCAGGTTCATGTCCTCCCTCCACCGTGGGAGCGGCGGTGGCCCTGACTTGGGGGAGGACGGAGGAGAGGGGGCCACAGGCTCCGGGGGCAACGAGGTGACCTAGGCCAGAGAGAAAGGCCTGCACCCAAATGAAGGCAGCACCTGGGGCGCGTCTCCAACAGAAAGGCCTTGTGAACATGCAGGGACAGCCTGGCCTGTTTGGCTCCGTGAATAAAGCTTCCACCCACGGACTGAAGGGTCCCAGGTTCAGTTCCGGTCAAGGGCATGAACCTTGGTTGCAGGCTCAATCCCCGGCTCAGTCAGGGCATGTGCAGGAGGCAGCGATAGATGGGTCTCTCTCACACATGGATGTTTCTCTCTCTCTCCCATCCATGCTCTCAAAAATAAACAAACAAACAAACAAACAAACAAATAAATAAATAAGGGAAAATATTCTCGGGTGAGGGAGGGTTAACAGAAAAAAAGAAAATGCAAAGACAACCTGAAGGCCAAGAAATGAATGCACAACCCAGAGGCTCTCTAAGCAGAGATGTTTGGAAAAAGTAATCACTAAAGGGCCTCACACACACACACAAAAAAAAGCAACCTAATTTACTTTTCTTAAAGAAACAGCCTAATATCAAATAACCCATTCATCTACTTCCTAAGTCAAGAGTACCATATTTTTCCGGCGTATAAGACGACTTTTGAAACGAAAAAAAGCCTGCTCAGGTTGGCCAGAGTCAGAGAGGCGGTCTATTAAAAAAAGAACTGGTGTTGCCTCGGAAGTGGGGGGTAGTCTTATACAGCGAATATAGGCCTAAACCTGTGTTTTAACTGTAAAATTAGGGGGGTCGTCTTATACGCCGAAAAAATATGGTAAATAATATTAACCTGTATTCAATATGCAATAAAACTATTCTTTCATTGGATAGTATCTCTATAGGAGAGATGAAAAGGAAAAACAGAGGAGAAATTATGCCTGAAATTATATTTAAAATCGGCATCAATTTCTTTGTTCCGAGAGCTTCCTCTACTCCCACTACTGTCCGCAGATCTCCTTCGGCTTTCCTGACAGTTATCAGGCAGGCCGGGAAGCCAGCCGGGAAGGTCTGGGCTGTGCTGCCTCCGCAGCCACAGGTGTTGAGGGCCCCTGAATGGGATCTCTAACCCTCACCCAAGTCCCGCCCCGGTGGCCCACTCAGAAGGGCACTTAGGGCGTTTGAAGGGGCCTGGAGCAGGGCCTCCCAATGTGGCTGCTCTTCAGAATCTCCTGGAAGCTTTTGAAAAGCTAGTGAGTCAGGGGGGGCCTGATGCTGAGAAACAGTTCCGGATGCTGGCAGGATCCAGGGGTTCTCACGCTCAGCGCTACTGGCACGTTGGGTCTGGAGGATTCCGTGGTGCAGGGGCTGTTCTGTGCACAGGGATGGTTAGCAGCATCCCGCCTCTACCCACTAATGCCGCCAGCAGCCCTGCCCAGTAATCTCAGCAAAAATGTCTCAGACATTGCCCTGGGTCCCTGGCGCATATAATCGGACAAACCACTGCGTAGCCTTTTGTTGACCGAGTATCCTGTTCTCCTGACAAATGACTTGAGCCCTGGGCCTCAGTTACCCCATCTGCCTCATGGGCTTGGTCCCCACAGAGCTGTCCGCACCTTTGACTCAATCAGCCCTGGCTCCCTGAGGATCTCCCAGCCTCTTATGCAGCCCCCTAACCTGGCGAAACATTGGCCTTAGGGTCAGAGAACGGTGCTGTCTCAGCCCGGGGGAGGGTTTGGGGAGAAGACTCCGGCCGAGAGGTCCCGTCCGCCCACCTGGTGGGACCACACCCACCCTCTCTCAGCTGAGCCTCTGCCTCAGCTCCGGGCCCCTTCCCCTCAGCTCACAGGTGTCTCCTCCTTTGCAGAGAAAAACTGTTCCTACTTCCGGCATTTTAACCCCGGCGAGAGCTCCGAGATCTTCGAATTCACCACTCAGAAAGGTGAGCCCGGGGCAGGCCCAGAGTGGGGACAGGGACTGGGTCACACCTGCGGGGACAGGAGATCCTCTGGCGCAGAAGTCCGCCCTCCCCGGCCTGACGAGAGCCCGTCCCCCTGTCCCAGCCCCGCTCTGTCCCCCTGTCCCAGCCTCCCCTCTGTCCCCCTGTCCCAGCCTCCCCTCTGTCCCCCTGTCCCAGCCTCCCCTCTGTCCCCCTGTCCCAGCCTCCCTCTGTCCCCCTGTCCCAGCCTCCCCTCTGTCCCCCTGTCCCAGCCCCCTCTGTCCCCCTGTCCCAGCCCCCTCTGTCCCCCTGTCCCAGCCTCCCCTCTGTCCCCCTGTCCCAGCCTCCCCTCTGTCCCCCTGTCCCAGCCTCCCTCTGTCCCCCTGTCCCAGCCTCCCTCTGTCCCCCTGTCCCAGCCTCCCCTCTGTCCCCCTGTCCCAGCCTCCCTCTGTCCCCCTGTCCCAGCCCCCCTCTGTCCCCCTGGGTCCCAGCCCCCCTCTGTCCCCCTGTCCCAGCCTCCCCTCTGTCCCCCTGTCCCAGCCCCCTCTGTCCCCCTGTCCCAGCCCCCTCTGTCCCCCTGTCCCAGCCTCCCCTCTGTCCCCCTGTCCCAGCCTCCCCTCTGTCCCCCTGTCCCAGCCCCCCTCTGTCCCCCTGTCCCAGCCCCCCTCTGTCCCCCTGTCCCAGCCTCCCCTCTGTCCCCCTGTCCCAGCCTCCCCTCTGTCCCCCTGTCCCAGCCTCCCCTCTGTCCCCCTGTCCCAGCCTCCCTCTGTCCCCCTGGGTCCCAGCCCCCCTCGGTCCCCCTGTCCCAGCCCCGCTCTGTCCCCCTGTCCCAGCCCCCCTCTGTCCCCCTGTCCCAGCTCCCCTCTGTCCCCCTGTCCCAGCCTCCCCTCTGTCCCCCTGTCCCAGCCTCCCCTCTGTCCCCCTGTCCCAGCCCCCTCTGTCCCCCTGTCCCAGCCCCCTCTGTCCCCCTGTCCCAGCCTCCCCTCTGTCCCCCTGGGTCCCAGCCTCCCCTCTGTCCCCCTGTCCCAGCCTCCCCTCTGTCCCCCTGTCCCAGCCTCCCCTCTGTCCCCCTGTCCCAGCCTCCCTCTGTCCCCCTGTCCCAGCTCCCCTCAGGCTGGCGGAGGCCGAGAGGCCGGTGCCTGGGGCAGGAGCGGGCAATGGAGCCAGTGCTCCCCATCCCCGGGCGGGGTTCAGGGTGGGCGGGTCAGAGTCTGTGGGGAGCGGAGTCCCTCCGGTGCCATCGAGCGCTCCCCGAGAATCAGGAGGGCAGGGGCGTGGGGAGACGCATCCGAGTCCAGCAGCCCCGAGCACCCCTCTGTCACGGGTACAGACCCACTCCTGCACATGTATGTACAAACGGCGGCACACAGTGTGGGCGTGCACACACATATGTGCACACACATGTGCACAAACACTCACTCTGGTAGATCCTTATATGCCAGTGCAACACTAACACACACACTCTGGCAAATCTTACACCTGTCTCACACACACACACACACACACACACACACATACACACCACACAAATCTTACACCTGTCTCACACACACAACACACACACACACACACACACATGCTCTGTAATAAGCCACCTTCCAGAGGCTGCCGTCAGCCCAGGACAGACCACCCTGGCCAGGCGCCTGCTGCTCTCCGCCCTGTCCCTCAGAGGAAGCTTCTGCCCGGGCCTCCTGCCCTCCCGCCCTCGGCCTGGTAGGGGGGGTGGGGGAAGGGATGCAGGTTAGTGCAGCCCTCGAGTTAGAATGGAGTCATTGCTCAGGACCGGCTTGGGTGCGCGATGGCTTCCCCCGGGCCTCGGTCTCCCCGTGTGCAATGTGCTCACCTGGCTGGCCGCACCGCCGTGCCCCGAGGCCGGCCGGGCCGCTGCTGAGGCGCCTGGGCCCTGTGTGTGTTGCAGAGTACAGCATCTCAGCCGCTGCCATCGCCATCTTCAGCCTCGTCTTCATCATCATGGGGACCATCTGCGTGCTCCTGGCCTTCACCAAGAGGCGGGACTACCTGCTGAGGCCGGCGTCCATGTTCTTCGCCTTCGCAGGTAGCGGGGCCCTGGCCTGTGAGCCCGGGGTGAGGGGGCGATGCCCGGGGTGAGGGCTGCTGTCCCCGTCCTCCCTCCCGCCTTGCTGTAAGTCGGGAGAAATTCCCGGGCTCCTCCAGGAGCAGACTTGGTCAGGACTCATCGTCGCTCGGTGGCGGCGGGCCTGGGGAGAGGCTGGCAATGTGTGCATTTAATCCGCACGGCACTGGGAGCAATGCCAGTCCCCATCCCATTTTAAGTTCATCCAAAACAGCCCGAACCAAAGAAGGAAAGAAGCGCCGTTGAGTGTCCGTGCGGTAGGCGGGCAGACGGTGGATCACTGTTGCAGGTCCCCACGTCCACTCCCGCCCCGGGCGGTCTCCCCCCGAGGCCGGGCCTCCCCCTGGTCCCTGGGGGAGCCCCGGGGGGCTCGGACACAGGCCGGCGGGCCCCTGAGCGTCCCGCTCTGCCCCAGGGCTCTGCATCTTCGTGTCGGTGGAGGTGCTGCGGCAGTCGGTGAAGCGCATGATCGACAGCGAGGACACCGTCTGGATCGAGTACTATTACTCCTGGTCCTTCGCCTGCGCCTGCGCCGCCTTCGTCCTCCTCTTCCTGGGCGGCCTGGCCCTGCTGCTCTTCTCCCTGCCTCGCATGCCCCGCAACCCCTGGGAGTCCTGCATGGACTCGGAGCCCGAGCACTAGCCCTCCTGACCTCCCGGCGACTCGCAGGGCTTCCCCCCCCCCCCCCCCCCCCCGCAGGGAGCCCGGCCCAGAACATTCTACGGAGGAGGCGGGAGCGAGCGTCCCATCTCTCCCGTTCCCACCTGACCCACACACACTGCTGCGCGGCTCCCCCTCCCCCAGCGCCTCTCCGGGCTGCCACAGGCTCCTGGGGGATCCGGCAGGTGGAAGTGATGCAGATCTGCCCTGGGTGGGGAGGGGGGTGGTCCGGCAGGTGCACAGGGTCTGCAAAGGCCCACCTCCCGCTGGAGCCCATAGCTGTCCCCGGCGCCAGCTGCCCGCGGAGCTGGCTCCCGCTGTCCCATGAGCCTCATCCGGGACGCCCCGTGCTCAGTCCCCGCGCGGGTGTCTCCTCCGGGGCAAGCAGCCAGCCCCCGCTGTGTGTGTTGAAGGCCCGAGAAGCCTTTCTCACGGGGCACTTTCTGACTGTGGCTGGAAATAAACGTTCTTTGAAAAACGTGCTTTTTCCCGGTGTCCCGCGTAGAAAACGCCGGGACCCCTGCCTGCAGCCCCGGGGGCCGAAGGGGACCCCGGAGGAAAAAGGCGAGGCCGCCCTGGGCCTGCGGGGGGCGCCCGTGGGGACCCCAGGGGAGAGGGCTCCGAGTGCCCACGGGACTCGCCGTGCGGAATGCCAGCGTGCATCCCCGGGCCCTGGGGATTTCTCTGGCAGAAACCGGAGACCGGCCGGCGGGGCGAGGGTGTTAAAAATAGGAGGGGTTATTTCCAGAGCGCGGGCCGGCCAGGGCCCAAGTGCTAACACAGCAGCCAGGCCGCCCGGCCGCCAGTGTCTGACACCCGACGCCGGGTTTCTGCTGCAAAGAACACGAGGAAGCAGGGCTTAGCTGTCAGACGCGGAGGGCGGTGACTCACACTGCCACGGGCCAGAGCCCGGCTGTCCTCTCCCCGCCGTTGGGGTGGGCACCCAGAGCCGGCCAGGGGAGGACCGAGAGCAGGGAGGGAGGAGGGCGGGGGGCTGTGTGAGTCCGAGAAGAGGAAGATTACAAAAAGCTGAGAGGAGGGCTGGTCCACGTGAAACCCATCTGGGTCTGCTCACGGGCACTTATCAAAGCGAGCTCCTCTCCTCCCTCGGACCCGGGGCCAGGCCCCCTTTCAGGGGTTTTCCTGGGTGGGCACGGGAAGGGGGACTGGGCCATCCTGTGGGTGCGGGCCTGAGCTGTCAGGAACGGCCGGTGTTCGCTCAAGCCTTTACACCACATGTGTCAAACACAAGGCCCGCGGGCCAAATCCGTCCCGCCAGGCCTTGCAATGTGGCCCGCACCGCGCTGTCATCACTGCACTCCGCTGCGTTTCCATCACAATGACAGTTTATGACTGTTCAGTAAACCATTCGGCCCGCGATTTAGGCTGGATTTTAGATTTTGGCCCCTTCTCTGATTGCGTTCGACACCCCTACTTTACTCAGTGGAATCGAGAAGAGGGCCCCGCCGAGCCTGGCTCTGGAGTCTGGTCAGGGAGGGAGTCGGTCAGAACACAGCCGCCCCCCTCCCGCGGCTAATGGCCGGCCCGACGGCAGCAGGAAGCAGCGAAACGCAGGCCGGCTGGGCTTCTCATCAGATCCGACCACGCTGCTTCCCCCGCCCGTGTGTCTGGTCCCGTTCGGGTCCAATGTTTTATTTACACGCTCATGGCTAATTCATATCCTGCCCTCGCTCCCGAAAGATCCCAAGCGGGGACGAGGTATAAATAAAGCCGTGAGGTGGAACATTCCTGTTAAGCCCAGGGCTGGCGTTGGGCCGGGCGTCGCTGCCCTCGGCCTCGCGGGCCCTCCTTCCCGACTCACTCAAGTGCCGCCCGCCGAGGCCTTAATTAATCCCCACACGCGGCATCGATCCTGCGGGCGCAGCCAGTTCATTAGGGCGGCCGCCGTTTCCAGGAGCGACGCTGCCTCCCCGTCTTGCTCCTGACGAGAATGTCTGGCCTCAATGAGAAAGAGCCAGCCTTCTGGACATTCTTGTTGATCTGGGATTAGACCCTGCCTCTCTGGTCACCCACAGCGCGGTCCTGCTAGCGCCCCCCAGCCCCCCCCCCCCCACACACACACACACAGGAATGGAGGATGGGGGATTTGTCTGTCGCCACAACCTGAGAGTCCTGGGCTCTGAGCTTGAGGAGTTCGAAGCTGATTTCCACGTCCCCAGTTGAACCGTTAACACGCCTCCCGCCCCCAGCCCGCCAGGGGCTGCTAACAAGGGCTTCTGGGGGCCGAGGGGGAGTTGTAAAGCACGGATGAGCGTCATAACGCCGGGGGTGCAGTTTTACCCGGAGACACCCAGGAGGCAGGGAGGTGACAGGTACAACCTGCCTGATGGGGAGGAAGACAAGAAAAGGGACAGCCAGGACCGTCCCAGCCCGGGACAGAGGCGGCCAGGGATCCGTGACAAATGAGACAGCAGCCAAGCCGCCCGCCGCAGCGGCTGTCTTGGAGAGGTGACGGGTGTGGCTGAGCTGACAGGGATGCTCTGGGGCCACCCGTGAGGGGCCACTGCGCTGCCGGTGTCACAGGAGTGGAGTTTACAGAGGACCCTGGTAGACTATGTCTCTCCGCCTCCTCACTGTCTTCAGATAGTTAGGCGATGTCTCCTGACCAGACAGGGCACCTGGGAAGTGAGCTCAGACCCAGCTCCATCCTTAGCCGGGGAAGCCCCCGCCGGCCTCCGTGCACATACCAGACTTCAGTTTATTCCAGCACCCCTCACTTCCCCCGTCACCGGCCCCCACAGCCCCTCCACAGAGCTGAGCCTCTGAGCTGGACCCTCCTCTGAAGGGGACCTCCCGGCCACGTTTCTTCGGCCTTCTCTCCGCATCCCTGCCAACTCCCTGCCTGTGTTTCAGGGGCCGGGAGTTTTGTTCCGTGTTTGTCTTCGTGAGGTTCAGGCCTGGGCCCATCTGCGCAGATAACATGGCACAAGCAAATATCCCTCTGTTTGTCTTTCTGAGTCACAAAGTTTGCTCACATTGTCCAACCGAAAAAAAATAATAAAATAAAACACCAGGGCTAGATTTAGATACCAAACGGCATCTGCCTCTGATAAATTCCATTTTCAAATGTTTGTGTGCTTCTGCATACCGTGATTGCTCTAGCAAGCTGATTTTACAAGAAGCTACCATAAAATGTATATACGAGAGCTATAGAAAGTAAAACATATATTTAATGTATTATATATATGTAGACCTTACATTTTTTAGGTTCTAACATAACGCTGAGGGTTTGTTTTGTTTTGTTTTTTTTAACAAGGATTCTGTTGCTTAGATTTCTGGGAACCACTGACAATCCTCTGATCGGGTGACCTTCAAGGTCCCTTCCAGCTCCTTTCGGTGCAGCTGATTTTGGTCAAAACTTGAAAGAGTTCAAGAAAGAAGGAGCTCCTAGGAATGCATGTATCTTGCTTAATGACAGTGGCCAAGGAAGGCTGTAGAGGAAGGAAGGGACACGATCCAGATACAGGAACAGAGAGGTGCAGGTGAGATGTGTCTAAAGGGCAGAGGTCACCGGCGGAGACAGACGCTAGAAAGTATCCGGGAAGTAAGCACCATCCCTTTTTCACGACCTCCACCCTTGCCTTTCATCTGTCCGCTGGCAGGTGTCTTGAAAGAATTCTCTGCCTCTCCTGACACCCCTGATCTTGAGGGACCATTATTCTGTCCACCCCCCTGAGTGACCACACTGCGTCCTGGGCACTGTGCTAAACTAGGACATGACTGAGAGGGTCAAGTCGGCGGTGTGCAGGCATCTCAGACGATGATGGAAGAAAACTGAATTTATTTAAAGAAACTGAGGTGGGGGATGGGGATACCCAAAGGGAAGGGCTACACAGCACTGAGCCAAAGAGTACTGGATCCATGATGGCAGCAAAAATACACTGAGGAGCCGAAACCAGTTTGGCTCAGTGGATAGAGCGTCAGCCTGCAGACTGGGGGTCCCTGGTTGGATACTGGTCAAGGGCATGTACCTTGGTTGCGGGCACATCCCCGGTGGAGGGTGTGCAAGAGGCAGCTGACCGATGATTCTCTCTCATCCATGTTTCTTGCTCTTTATCCCTCTCCCTTCCTCTCTGTAAAAAAAAAATAAATTTAAAAAAAATCAATAAAAAATCTTTTTAAAAAAATACACTGGGGACAGTGAAATCAGGAAGGACACAGAAGAGGCTATAGGAGAGCCTAGGCTGGGCTGCTTGGCTCACTGAGAAGTCAGAGAAAGGGGGGCTTTGGAGACAGGTTGCGGGGGTGAGCCTGGGACGAGCTGCCGCTGCTCATTGCTCCAATGGTTGCAAGTCTTGTGGGGTAGAGGTTAGGGGATAGGTGCCTGTGGGGAAAGGGGAGGGGGAGGAGATGGCAAGGGCATGCTCCTTGGGGAGAGAGTGCACACTGGTCTTTTGTCCTGAGCGTATTTCTCTCTCTCTTGCAGGTGGAAGGCTTGGGGTGGGGGGCGTGGCTCAGAGGAGTGTTTCAATCGAATATTCTCCAGCTTCCCAGGTGTGCTCGTTCAGGGTCATTGTCTCCACTGACTGGTTGGCGCCAGGACAGAAGGTCATTAGTCAGTGCAGCTGGTGCTGAGGCGGCCTGGTTTAGCTGCTTTTCTGGGCCTGGAGCTGAAATACAACTGAGGCCTAGATGTTAACTTTAGGGAGGAAAAGGTCAGGGGGTCTAAGCCGCATGACCAGGGATGTGGAAGGTCCGGGGTCCAAGCCACAGGACCAGCGATGTGCCAGGGGAGGACAGGACACCCAGTGTTGCCCCTTGCCAGGCACCCAGGGCTTTCTGCCCTGGTGAGTTTCCGTATCTGGCCCATCATCCCTGCTCTGCTCACGTCTGTCTAATGATAACGAGGAATCTACATTATGGTCCTGTCCTTCAGGAACTTAGCATTCCATGGCAGATGGTTTAAAAAATAAATTATAACCGAAACCGGTTTGGCTCAGTGGATAGAGCGTTGACCTGTGGACTGAAAGGTCCCAGGTTCGATTCCGGTCAGGGGCATGTACTTTGATTTCGGGCACATCCTCAGTAGAGGGTGTGCAAGAGGCAGCTGATCGATGATTCTCTCTCATTGATGTTTCTAACTCTCTCTTCCTCTCCATAAAATATTAATAAAATATATAAAATAAATAAAATACAATAAAAATAAGTTATGAGCCATGAGGGCGGGCGGGCTCCTCGGAAACACAAGGGGGCATGTGGTCTGCCCTCTCTGAACTGCTGAAGCCCTGCTTGTTCTGCAGCTCCCCCCTCCCCCCCTCCCCCTCCCCGCAGGCATCACCAAGTGCCTGGCTCTCCAACCCTCAGTGCGGACTCCATGCTTCCCTTCTCCCTGGACACCGGGCTCCTGTTCCCAGTGCTGGGGGTCAGGATAGCTC